AAATTTTGTTGTATCCGAACGACGATTGCATCGTGTGATTTAAATTTATCACAATTTTCCTTGCAGCCAATACGACACTCGTCACCTTGCCGATTGTAATTTACTTCACAAAGTTGTTGGTGCCCAATACTCGCAACACTAAAATAATTCAACAAGAAATCTTTTTAGTAAAATGTCATTTTACTCTTGATTATTTTATTTTATTTTATTATTTTATTCAACAGCTGAAAAATTGTGTGAAAGCCAATCAGTACTCTCAAATGCCTCAAGGGAAAAGTCAATGCATATACAAATTCACAAAAACAATAGTTGATTTGGAAGTTGCACAGGGATGTTATTTGGATCCATTCAAGCAAGATATTTAAATGAAAATAGCACGACACATACAGGTTTTCACTAACTATATACATTTTCTAGTTTTCTGATTCTACGACAGACATTATAGAAACCAAATACAAGGACTGAACAGGGAGCAAATCCTAATTCACTTTCACTTGTATTTACAACTTTCACGAAGTCAAAGTGAGTTTCAATTTTGATTATTTCTGAAATATGGTAAGACATTCACTGTTTTGACTTCCACTGAAATAATTAATTAACTGAAATATTAAAATGTTATATGTATATTGTCACCGCATATAGGGAACTCACGTGGTACTGTATGTAACTTGTTTCGATGTCATATATCATAACAAAGTGGTGTTTAAAAAAAACAAACAAAAAAACAAAAACAGAAAGATTATGTAAAAGTAATAAAGGATGCATTATTTACTCCTGTAACCCATAGAACCCTACATCTGACACTGACAGGATGTGAAATTGTGATACTTGTCGCCATTTTGGAATGCATGTCGTAATACCTTTCTGTTAACTGATTGGTGAGGGAGAGAAACCATGGGCGAATTAACAGTTGAAGTTCTTTAATAAAGACAATCAAGCTCTGACATTATACGCGGTGAAGATTGCATCTATTAGTTGTGAACACGCAAATCATAAAACGTTGATAACACCGATTGAACAGTTCGACATTCGATGAGATTCTGGCACGACATGGGGGAAAATTGTTTCAATCGCGAGTCGAGTCTGACATCACCTCCTTGATGATTTGTGTCGTGTTACCACACACAACTTCTGATTTTCTGGACTTTAGAAGACGGCCACATGTGTCTGTTGAGATGTACAAGGCTAAATGCTCAACAAATGTGAGTAAACAAGAAAAATTGACTTACTTTGTAAATTCTATTTTTTCGCAAACACGAACCTGCCAATATTGAGGAAAACGTTTATGCGCATGCGTGAAAATTAAGGCGCAAAATATCGCGAGTTTCTGCGAGATATGCCAATTTTTCCGAAGACGATTATCTTAAATAACCAATAATAACCAGAAATGTTTTGAAATAGTTGTATTATTTCATCAAAATAAAAATGTATTTTCACAAATAATTGATATTCAACTACAATAGCAAGTAAAAATCACCGAAACGTGCATATCACACAAGCAAATCGTTGTCCCCTCTCTCACTTCAACAACTTGGACTCGCCCACTAAAGTTCAAAGTTGAACACGCACATTTTCAAAATGGCGTCTACCGGCGTAACTCTGACTTGTGGAGATTTCATGCAGTTTCAGGCGAGTTGAATTTATTTTGTCGAGAATCGGTATCGATTAGGCCGGTCTTTAATACTTGAGACGTTTGGATGAGAGTTACAAAAATCTGCAATGTAACCAATGTATTTGTTTTGGAACACGTGTGACACGCTGTGGTCAGAGGACGAGGTCACGTAATTGCAAATTAGTGCAGCTACTTTGTATATCATATGTGAAACTGTTTTCAGAAATTACAATCAAGTTACACGACCAGTTACACAAAACGTTTCTAAATATGGCAAAGACTTGCAGCTACTCTTTTTTTTTTAGCTCCATGTATAGATGAACTTGTGATCAGTCACTTGAGGGTTGAACAGTCAAATAAATCGATCAGTATTATTTATGCTCCAGTCAACGTCAACCCCCACCCTCCCCACATCGGATTTAGTGGGGGATTTGGAAATTATTGTTGTAAAATTTGCTAAATGCCCCAGCTCCTGGGGGCAAGAAGGATAGGCAAATCACCACCCAAAACAAACCCCTCACATTTCCCCCACCCTCAACCCTGGGGAACGCCACTGTCCGCCATCAGCAGAGTATTCAATAAACCTATACGGATGCGCAGCTATTACCCTACCTCCACTGGCACAGTTTGGCGGTGAACCCCGTCTAATGCTCCACATTTGTCCCGTATTGCCCGAGGAGACATTGACTGGAGCATTATTTTCCTTCATGTATGTAAGTTGCCTGTTCCTTGTGATTCAACACATATCGGGAAGGGATGGCAAAACTATCCAATGTCTGATTAGTCGATTCACACAATTCACAATTGTGACGTAATCTACAAAGATGTCATAACATTAATCATTTGGTTAGGGATGTACAAGTCGGAGACTTTCTGAGTTTTTCTGAGCAAAAAATAAATAAATAAAAGCTGGTTAAAAAATATTACTGATCAGACTCCTATCAAAGCGTACCACTGTTCACGTGTTATTGTCTCCACAAATCTGTGAGCCTGTTTTATGTTTGAAAGGTTTATGAAATTCAATCTTAGCATTTGCTACAAACTTAAAGACATGGTATATAAACAGACGCGGGCGGAGTTTATTATTCAAATGAAGTCGCCCTCACCCACATCAACAACGGTGACTAAAAGATCCACAAAAACACGAGAAACAGTGATTCATTCCATTATATTTTCTATTTTTCAAATGTGAGTGGCGCCATGAACGTTCAGGGAAGCCATATAAATACAAATATTAGTGAATTTGACAGCTAGATCATTTACTATTGCCAGAAAAATAAGTTTTAAAAGCATTGAGTTTCGAATTTTCTTCTATCATAGTACCGGTATGTAACAATTATATTTAAGAATGCAGATGTGACTAATATTTATTACTATGTTTTTATGTAAGAAGGGAATTGTGGTGATATTAATTTATCTATTGTTTTTTTTTCAGGATGCATTAAAAACTCTTAGAACAATTGACGATAAAATTATCTATGCCCTAAACACCACTGTTCCCACAGATTCATTTGCTGGAAAAATTGATGCCAAGGAAACATGTCAGAAGTTGTATGAAGATGTAAGTTCATTGACTGATCTACCCATACTCTCATTTTAATTTTATACAACAACTTACATAGAAATGTTGACGTTTTCAACAAAAAAATTGAATAAATGTCTCCATGGGCACTCTTTTGTTTACTAACCAATCAAAGACATTGTAGCCATTTGGTGTGTTTAGTTTTTTTTATATGTAACCGTTTTTTATCACAGTGATGACTTCTAGTACTGTAAATTTCTATATTAGAAACCGTGGCTTCTATTAATGGTACAATGCAACAAAGGGGATGCGGCTTCTATTAGAGCATCTACACATATGAGAAATGATGAGTTTTTGGTTATCATTTATTCAAAAATATTGGGTGCGACTTCTATCAAGGATGCAGCTTCTAATACTGATTTTATGCTACTCAATATACTGTTAAAACTCCAATAAATTGACTGTAGTTAAATGATTAGTTTTTAAAAACAGTGATAACATAAAACACTCGGAGGCGTACAATGTGCATCACTTGTTGTTTGAAAATTGTTTCCATCAAAACACAATCACTTGTGATGTTTAATAACTCAAAAAAAGTACGAAAGAAATAATATTTTTTGTATTGAAATACGGGTATGACTGAATAATAAGCAACGGTGTTAGAAGCTCAGAAAAATAAGTTGTATGTCTATGATCTAGATTATTGCATGCAGATAACACAGCATACCTACCCTTAAACTTGTCATCACCAAACTTCCTCGCCCAAATTTTTCTGCACTTTTTTGTTTTACGATTCTGGAAATGAACCCTAATTTTGGAGCCAATTGTTTTTGTCAATTTTTGTGACAATTTTCAGTATTTACTTAAAAGATTTGGCTATTTTTGTCCCAATCTTCTGAAGGAAAGTGCAGACTACATTTTGTGAATTTGTGATGAAAATTAGGAACTGGGGGTTAGTGTATGTTCCTATTAATTAAGGTAGCGAGAGGGGAAACATAATTTATAGTTTAATGGAGTTTAGGACTTTCCTCACCAGTTACTAAGCATGCAGTTATGGCAATGTATATGTTTTCAGAAAGCTGAGATATAGCAGAATACGATCATATATGTTTCGTCTTGATATTTGCTCAGGGGATTAAGTTACGATCGTTCCCGTTAACCTCCTAAACGGAGAGTTTTTTGCGGGA